CCACCATCTCTCCCAAAAATCAAAACCATAAAGAAACACCACTTCACATCTACTACGAAGGCCAGGATCAAAACTATCTGATAACAAGCGTTGACCATGTGCAAAAGGAATTCTGATAAACTATTGGTAGAAATGCAAAATGGTACAGCTGTTTTGAAAAAGTCTTTGACTGCTCTGCAATGAAACAGAATTATCAAATGATCCAGTAATTCTACTCCTGTTGTTGATGCTTGCAGTCAAGTTTCAAGCAATTCATAGCTGACCCTCTAGTGGGTTTTCAGAAGCGGTAAACTGCATGAGAGGAGACTGTCCATCTTTCTCCCACAGGCAGCTGGTGGATCTGAACCACATGCCTTTGGGATTGCAGCACAGGTTTTCATCATTAAGCTGGCATATATAATCAAGAGAAATAAAAACATTTATGCACACAGAAAACTGTACATGAATATTTACAGCAGCATTATTCATAACACCCAAAAGGTAGCATCTATCAACTGACAAATGGATAAATTAAGAGGCAGTAAATCACACGGGAGGAAACTGTTCATCTTAGCTGGTGGATTTGAACTCTGTCTTTGGAACTGCAGCACAGCTTCTTACCACTAGGGAACAGAGCTCCTCTAATAGAACATTATTCAACAATAAAAAGAAATTAAAATATTATACATGCTAAAACATGGAGGAATGTGGAAAACATTAAGCCAAGAGACAAAATTAGTTACCCTAACACACTCTGCAGCATTCCAAACATATCAAAGTTCAGAGATGAGAAATCTAGACAGAAAACTGATGGGTAGTTGTTTGGGGCTGAGGGTGGGTGGTAATGGGAATGTTTTCAAATTGATTGTTCTAAAGTTATACAAAATTGATGTTTATAAAGGTGCAAAGTTTAAAATTTGGCACCAGCAGCACAGTGACCAAACTTGTGGGTGAGTCTTAACGTCACTCTTGCTTTTGAGCAGTGGCAGTTCTACTGGAAAATTACCCTCAATCGACAAGAACTAAAATTCACTGCCACTGAGTCAATTTTACCAAAACCCTGGAACATTCTCTGAGGGTTCCCAAGGCTGCTGCCCCATGGTTCTCCCACAGAGCATCTAGCAGGTTCAAAGTGCCAACTTTCAGGTTAAGCTGCTGAGCATCTGAATCATTGTTCCACCAAGACTATTTCTCCATGAGGGAACCTTTTTTTTCATTATTATTATTAAATTTTATTAGTATTAATGAACATTTACAGAGATTTTAGGTTCTCATTCATTCATTGTTGCACTGTTTCCTCTACCCTCCTCCCCAGTTCGTTCTCCCCCCCACCCGCGAATGTCTGTTTTATTTGTCCAGTTGCCACAGTGCTTGTCAAAGCCAGTTCTGATTAATCTCCTTTGTCAGTG